CGCCAAAGGGGTCGCGACCCACAGGTTGAGAACCGCTGGACTAGCCGGTCCACGCCAGCACCAGGTGCAGCGCATCTCGCGTGCAGTCACGTGTGTGATGGACGAGTCACGCGGCTGTGGGAATCCGCTGAGCTCTCCACCGCCAAGGCCAGCCCCTGCGCGGTCAGCGAGTTTCCCTCTGCACACACAGGACTAATCCTGTGTCCCCGAGCGATGGGGCGAGTGCACCACAGCCTGGAGGCCGCTGTGTTCCAGAATAACTTTCCATCGTCGACAAAAACAAGTGACCTTACCCGTCCAGACAAAGCTAGGCCCCAGGACCAACCACTGCACATCTGTCAAGAAAACAGCTCCAGCCCCGGGCAGTTCCCTCAGTGGTTAGAGCGCTGGCCCCAGGACTGCCAGGTCTCGGGCGAGATTCCCAATGAAGGGCATGAACGCGGTTGCAGGTTCGATCCCCGGCCCCGAGCGGGGAGGCAACCAACCGATATGTCTCTCTCACATCGATATTTCTCTCTCTCTCTGCCTCTCCCCCTCCACTCTCTCTAAAAAACCAATGGGAAAAAATATCTCGGGCGAGGATGAAGAAACAAACTCCGTCATCTGGGAAAGGCAACATACGAATGCCGTTTCCCCGGGTGGAAGTTTCCATCCACGGGATACACCCTTGTCGGGGGCACCACGTCACTTCAAAAGGAAAATTAAAAATATTGTGAGTTCCTGAATTAATAACTCCCCATGTTTCTTATCAAGAAAAAGCCTCCCCACCCAGCCTCGAAGCTACAATTAATAACGAGGAGCGAGAAGGCGCACAAAGGCCCTTTGTGGGGAATGGCCACTGTAACGTGGCCGATTTCCTCCGCGCTCTTCTTTGTTTTGGCTTAAAATAAACAGGCTACCTACAGGCAGGAGGCGAGACCCCTCTCCACCCATGAAGTCCAGTTAGTAGAGACGATACCGTTAGAACTTCCCCTCCACTGGAGATGCATCGCTGTGGCCACGACCCCACGCCCCCGGCCCTGAGCGTGAAGGCGGCAGCAGAGGCCCGAGGCCTTCACCTCCCAGCGACAGAACACACCCGGGGCCCAGCTCAGCTCCGCCTCCAGCCGCCCGCGGCCCACCCCAAGCCTGCCCAGAGAGGTGCACTGCGTGTTGGCACCGTGGTCCAGGGAAGGAAAAGACTCCAGGTTCCATCCAGACCAAGATACTGCCGGTCTGAAAACACCCCGAGTCTTCAGCGAGCCACACGACACGGACTTAGTGCCACCGAGCTGTCATGAGGACATACAGATGGCCCTGGTCCCAGGGTCAATTCCCGGTCAAGGGCATGTACCTCAGTTGCAGGTTCGACCCCCAGCCCTGGTCGGGGTGCATGTGGGAGGCAACCAATCAGTGTCTCTCTTGTGTCAATGTCTTTCTCTCTCTCTCTCTCTCTCTTGTGTCAATGTCTTTCTCTCTCTCCCTCTCTCTCTCTCTCTCTCTCTCTCTCTCTCTCACTTTCTCTCTCTTCCTTCCTCCCTCCCTTCCACTCTCTCTAGAAATCAATGGGAAAAAACATCCCCAGGTGAGGACTAAAAAAAGAAAGAAATACAGATGACTAGTCAGTGCATGAGGGACCCGGAGGCTCTCAGTGCGGGAGTCTGTGAATCTGGGTGAAGCCAGCACGTGTCAGCCTCAGACCTGGGGGTGACTATGAACTTAAAGAGCATCTGTCGGTCACATCAGCGTCGCCCGCCCCTGGGGACATGCACTGCGGACGCGACGTCGCCTACGCAAAATTCTGGGCAAAAGTGTTCAGCACGAAGCTCGGCAGGAAGAAACCATCACACGGCGCGAAGCGGACACATGTGCTGCAGAACGGCCGGCCTGGCCCTGCAGACCTGTAAGGACTGTCGAGAACGGTTCTCCAGTAAGGCCCACAGGTTCACCAAAGGTCACCATCGGGGAGGAGCCGTGTGCGGGCGAAGGGCTTCCAGCCAGCCCAGACCTGGTTCCACGCCTGTCCCCGCCGCGGGGCCACGACATTCGACCCCACGCCCGCGCCATGACACGGGGACAACGGCACCTTCTCTGCGAGGCTGTGAGCTGGCGACGTCACCTACAGAGGCCTTAGCACGCTCAGCAAGTTCTCAGTGTAAGTCGGGGTGACCAGTGACCTCGGTCACAGCCCTCAGGGGCTGAGGAGACGGCCTCTGCTGCCCGTCCAGTCGGAGGACGAAAGGGCGGCAAAGGCGTGAGACATGAAGCGGCTGCCAGGGGCTCCAGGGTGCAGGAAAGGGACACCGGAGGAGCACTGACCTGGGTCGCAGTCACGGCCGGCTTCCCAGGAGAGGTGACAGCGGTCCCTCCAGGTTGCGAGATCAGCGCACGCAAAGGCTGCCGGGGACAACAGCTCAGACGGAGCCAAAAACAGCCATGTGTGCCCGGAGCACGCGACGCCGGGCAGGGCAGAGGGCAGAGGGCAGAGGGCAGGGCAGCGGCCAACGGGCCGCGAGAAGGTGAGAAGGTGAGCGGGTTCGGCAGGCTCCACGGGGCGCCTTACAGACCGCGTGGCGGTCGGGCTTTCACTGTCAGACCTGCACTCAGCCTGGGGCTGCTGACCAGCTCAGGGCAGCAGGGAGGAGAGGCTGGACGGGGCGGTCAGGCCTGGGGCCGGACACGAGGAGGTGGGACAGTAGGTGGGACAGCAGGGGGCTGAGACCAGGGCCGTGCGGGACCCGGACGGGCTGCTGTGCCAGTCACCGAGGAAGGAGGCCCGGCCCCTGCAGGTCGGGGTATAGAGAGAGAGCCGAGACGGGAGGGGCCCCTCAGGGCTGCAGGCAAAGGTCTGCCGGGCCCGGTCCTGACCCGAGAGAAGGGACGCATCCTGCATCCCCGGAGGAACACGCCCGGACCAAGCAGACTGTCCCAGCCGAGCTCCAGTTTCAAAAGCCGGTTTACCACGAAGCCACATCACTCACCACGCACAGTATCTTGCTGGTACCATTTAGTTCAAATCTCATTCGTCACTAATGGGACTTTAGTGCATGCAGGTGTGTGTGGAGGGGGTGGGGGGGTGAACCATGAGGCCGTGGGCCCTGTGCTCCCTCCATCCAAGCCTCTGAGCTTCGAGTTCTGGTCACAGGGGTCAGGAAGGCCTTAGACGCTCAAGTCCCACCCCAGCCCTCATCCTGCTTCCAGACACACCAGGCCCAAGGCCACACGCTGCCCCTGACCGTCCTGTCCCCCTGAGAGAAGTGGGGGGGCCACGGCTCTGACGCTCCTAGGGAGGCCCCTGTGCCCCGCGTGCCCTCTGCCCCACAGTTCACCCCACCTGCCCTCACCCTGTCACTGGAAGGGAGGTGCCCTCTGCCCCATAGTTCACCCCAGCTGACCTGCCACAGAAGGTGCAGAAGGTCCATGTCAAGGTCCATGTCACGTGTGGCCGGTCCCATTGCCAGGTCCATGGAAGCACAGACCCGCCACTGTCCTGCGGACTCCTGGCTGGACTCGCTCCTCCTTCCCCCCCGACCGAAGCCCCGTGAGCTCTGCTCAGGCCAAGCTCGTCCAGACCCACACAGGGCGCCTCTGTCTCGCAGACGAGATCACCCCTGTGCCCGCCGGCCTCTCGGGAGGAGCACGGGCCCCGCGCCCGGGAGGAGTGGCCTCCTGGGAGGGACGCCTGGTTTAGGAGCCTCTCTCTCCACCTCCCGCCTCCACCTGCCCCGGTCAGTAGCCAGGTTAAGTCCAGCCCAGACTGCGGGACCTTTCTCCCCGGAGCCCTGGGTCCCGTCTGGAAACCTGGGAACCGCTTCCAGGGCTAAGACTAAATACACATCATCTCCCCGCAGCGTCTGGAGAGAGGGCTGCCTCCCGGGGAAGGGGGGGCACGGCTGGGCGTCTCCTGGCTCCGGCGGCGGCTCCATCCGCCTCCACACGCTCAGTCCTCAGCCCCGCACCTGCACACGCTCACCACCTTAGACGCGGTGTCCCCAGCGTGTCTGCCACAGGCTTATAATCCCCTTCAATTGCTCATTTCAGTTGTAGAGTCCGAACACATAAAACCCGCAGCCTTTCCTCCCTTTAAGTAAGAAAGGGGCTCAGGGCGTCTCAGTGAATCGACACGGACTCATGAGAAAAAAATCCCAAAACACTTGGACACATTCTTGCTGTGGTGCAGGCAAGCACATCCCACACACAATACAGCCATCGAGCAAGGGGGCAGATCAAAGACCAAGGATACAGCCAACTCCCAGCACCCCCGTGCCAGGCGAGAGGCCCCATACCACACGGCCCCCAACGCCTCCGCTCCCCCACCGCCTGAGCAGGGGCTCCACCCAGCCCGGCCGGCCTCTGGGCAGGCGGCTCAGGGCTGACCAGCACTGCTGGGGGCTTGGCAGTGCCCCTGGCGTCAGCCCACAGGTGCGAGCGGGTTCTACCGCCACCCCCCGGCAGCCCGCCAGGACCTCCCCTGCCAAGAGCTGCTGCCTGGAGCGACCACACTGAACTCTTCTTCTACATCATCTACCCAGACCTACGACCCCACAGCGAAGGTGGCTGAGTTCTGGAACTCTGTGGAATGAAACCACACGCGTGTATTTCCTGTAACTTTGTCCACTCCACGCTGTGTCTGTGGAATGGATTGTGTGTACTGCGGAGCGGTAGCTCATGGATCTTACTTTTAGTTCCTGTATTTTCGCTGCTGTGTGGTACCCTATGAAATTAAAATTCCACAATTCACTAATCCAAGCTGTTACTGATGGGCACCTGCATTATTTCTGAAATTTCGCTTTTACAAATCCTTCTGCTCGAACACCCCCTGCCTAGGTCCTCCCACAATCACACAGGCGCCCGGGTCATAGTCCTGTTCCCCCGGGTCATGCAGGAGCCCCGCTCCCAGGCAGTGGGGACAGTGGGGACAATGGGGACAGTGAGGCCAGTCCCCGGCTGCACGCTCTCCGTACTCAGCTCCTCGAGCAGCACCCCCCGGCATGGGGACCGCACCCATGTGTGTTGCTTACCGTGCGGATGCCAAGTCTACAAACAGCAAGTGAGATCTGGAGACATTCAGACATCCTCTAAGATTAAAATGAGAGCGAGAGGTTACAACCGAGTGTCCCGCCGGACCGCCTGCCCCCTCGTCGCGCTTTTCTCTTGGAAGAAAAGCGGCTGCCCTCTGACCCCGCGCTGTGAGCAGGCGGCCGTGCGCTCCTTCCCTCGCCTTGGCAGGCCGGCGCCCCTGGACAGGAAGGGATCGCAGTGCTCGCGGCCTCGGGGACCGCAACGGGCCCTGCGATTCCACAGCACACGCAGAGATGGGCCTCTGGGCGGGCTGGATTTTGTCTGCTTTAAATCCTGTTCAAATAGCCAATTTCCAATGATAAATTCTTTGATTGCTAGAAATTAGTTTTATGAGCATTCCTCTTTCCATTCATAACAGGTTATAAATATCTACAACACTCACAGGAAAGTAAGCTTTGTAAACAGGAGAAGTTATCATAGTTCCACGCTCAAAGTTTGAATGGGCGGGAGTTAGAAAGGACTGAGGCCCTGCTCTCAGAATATAAGTGGCAGCACCGGACTCAGAATTCCCAACTCCTCACTCGCAAAGCAAGTTCGGGTTCCTGAAACTCATGTTCGCTCACAAAGCCGTTCTCCCCAACCTGACGCTGACGGCTTTCTGTTAACTGGGGGCTATGCCAGCAGGCTGAGAGGCAGGTACCCTAATGTGGCTCAGTCCCGCACTGCGCCTGCGGCTTCCTGCGGTCCAGGGAGGCCCCACGACGCCTCCGCCACCATCTCGGCATCCGTGGCTGCACCCACGGTGCCCGGAGGCTGGGGCACAGGACCCCGATTCCCACAGCGGCCCCAAGGCTCCCGGGGCCAGGAAGTCTATCTGACTAACTCTGCAAAAGGCCCCGTCTCCTCAGAATCCCGAAGAAACTGAAATCTATGATCAAGGCAACTGGTGAGCCCGGCCGGCGTGGCTCAGGGGTTGAGCATCGACCTATGAACCAAGAGGTCAGGGTTCAATGCCCGGTCGGGGCACATGCCCGGGTTGCCCGCTCGATCCCCACTGTAGGGCGCGCAGGAGGCAGCCGATCCATGACTCTCTCTCATCATTGATGTTTCTATCTCTCTCCCCCTTCTCCCTTCCCCTCTGAAATCAATAAATATATTTTTTTAAAAAAGCAGAAGTGAGTATGGCAACAAAGCGAGCTCATCAAGTAAAAAAAAAAAAACAACAATAAAGAGAAGCCGTGTTTGCTCTAAGTTACTAAAACTCTGTTTTCTCCTCACAGTCCCCAAACGTTCAGGCCCCGCTGCTGGGACGGCCACCATCACTACCCTGCAAACCCTCGCCTGCTCCTGTGCGAGTGCCTGCGGGCCCTCCACCTCCCCCCTAACCTCTGATCCTCACAAACTCAGCCTAATCCGGCCACCCTGCCTCGGGTGCAGCCCTCGGCCGTCCCACCTCCAGCTTCACCCTAACACTGAGGGTCTGGGAGCGGAGCGGCCCTGCTCTCTAATGAGGGGAGTCAGGCACAAAGAGGCATCTGAGCCCAGCCGTGTGGCTCAGTGGTTGAGCGTCCACCTCCTGACCTATGAGCCAGGAGGTCACGGCTCGATGCCCAGTCAGGGCACATGTCCAGTTGTGGGCTCGATCCCCAGTGTGGGGCGTGCAGGAGGCAGCCGATCCATGACTCTCTCATCATGGATGTTTCCCTCTCTCCCCCTCTCCCTTCCTCTCTGAAACCAATAAAATATATTTTTAAAAAAGGTATCTGAGAGCACAGCCGAGCTGCCCTGGTCCTGGGACAGGAGCTGGTAATGCATCTCAAGGGTCAGTCCACAGTCTCCCCGAGATGCTCTGTTGCAGGCACCCGCGTCACTGCGGCCGTAACGCACAGCCTGGGGTGAAAGAGGAGTCGCTGGCTGTCCCCAGTTAAAGAGTGACTATGCCCTGGCGACCCGGCCGGAGCCTGAGCCACACTCACAGCCCCACGAGGCGGCCTGCGGGAGCTGCAGGCCTAGCCAGCACCTGTGCTGCTTCACCTGATGAAAGCGCCAAAGGAGATGCTGCCGGCAGCCGGTCCCGGGGGGCGGGGACGGGGGGCGGGGGGGGGGGGTGCTAACACCTCTGAGCAGGGACAGGGCATCACGGGGAATCCAGACAGACAGGAGGACACACGCAACGGGAAGCGGGCGTGACTACTTACAGTTTACGGTTGTTTCCCCTAAGAAATGTCAGAGGCAAGCATGGAAATAAAGGAGAAAAAACACTTCAACGAGAGGCAGAACATAAACGCCATTCACCCTACAGTCTGCGCTAACCACCAGGAGGCGGAACGAGTGTCAGCCCCGGAGGGTGAGGAACAGCTTCTCTTCTGGACGAGCTGCTGCTAAGACCTAGGTGTCCCCACGTGCTGCACACGCCTCGTCCTGACCACAGCGAGGCAGCGGCGATGAAGGGTGAACACAGTCCAGGCCCCCCTCAGAGCGCCGAGCGGGGAGGAGGACAGGAAACGTCACAGGCGGTGCCTGGCCGATCCAGACAGGGTCCGACCCCGAGCCAGGAAGGGTACATGGCCCCTGGCACGCGCGGAGAAGCCTGCCACCTTTGGCCTCATAGGAGTGGGGCAGGGGACGCGGGAGGCCTGTGCGTGTGGCTTTGTTTTTTAAGGTGGAAGAGGCCTTTTTCTTAAGCGGTAAGAGATCTTTCTCATGAGCTGGAAGCAAAAGAATGTTCCGTCCACCGTGATAGCTGAAGTATCAGCCTTAGCGTTGCCGCCCCCGGCACTGACTCCCCGGAGTCTCCCGGCCCCGGGCGTAAGGGTGGCCGGAGCGGCTCAGGATGTCAGACGCCAAGCTGAAGGCGCGTGTACGTGGCGTGAATCCCCTCTGCTGCATAACCTGAGCGCCGACTGTGTGCAGGCCAGGCCCTGCAGAGACCTACGGTGCACAGCCGGGTTCTCAGGAAGCCGGGGGGGCGGAGGGGGGGGGGGCGGGGAGGGACACAAAAGCAACAAAGAAACCAAGTTGCATGAGGACAAATGCTACAAAGAAAGAGAAAAGAACAGAACAGAATGTGCAGCAGGGAGAAAGCCTGGGGTATGGCCACCTTTGAGAGCAGATGCACTTCCAACAATGTCTGGCCAACGACATGCGGCCCCCAGCCTGCTGTTGTGAATAAAGCTTTATTGGAACACGGCCACATGCCCCAGTTTACATGTCACCCAGGCCTGCTTTGGGGGCGGCTGGGCGGCTGAGACAGAGACTGTGTGGCCTGCAAAGCGCGAAACACTCCCCTGCGACCCTTCACAAGAGCTGCCCCCCCACCCCCACCCCCGTCCCCGCTGCAGCCCGGCACCTGGAGTCCCCACGGCAGGGCTGTTTCAATGCCGCAGGAGCCAGGCCGGCAGACAGAGCTGCCTCTGCACTGTCCAGGGCGCCCACGTGCCCACCCAACACGGGGCTCAGGACGGGCCTGCTGAGTGCAGGAGCCGGACAGGAGGAGGGAGGGGCTGGGAGGGAGAGGGGAGGAGGGCTGTCTCCTCCCCGAACCCGTCGGACAGGCACCCTTCGGGGGATGTTCTCAAAGCCCCCAGGTTCCTTTCTTGCGGCAGCTGAACACTGGGCACCCCTAGAATGAAAGCCAAGGGCCTAAAGTCACTAGTTTCATTTCAAGCAAGTGAACACGACGAAAAGGCTGCTTCTAAACCACGTCCTGTGAGCTGTGAGTCCCCAGAAGTGCCCCCCACGCCCCCCGGAAGAGGCCTGCTGCCCCTGCTGCTGCTCTGACCCCTCCCACGATGGCAGCAGCAGTGGGGACACAGTCGCCGCAGGCACGCTGGGCTCGGGAAGCAGAACTGCTCTCAGCAGCCACCATGAGCCGTCACGCCTCGACTCCTCTCTCCGCCTTTCTTCACCGTCATGCGCTTCTAACGTCGGCTCACGAAGGCCAGGCTTTCATAAGGATTGAGCTGCGCACGCCTCCTCACACAGCCTGGGTCACCTCAGCTTCTTCCCGCCCACTGTGCTCTGCTCTGCAAAAATGCCAGGTTTGAAGAGTTTTAAAAACCAGCAACTGAGTACCTATTCTGAGCAGGGAATCAAGAGAACACTGACCGAGCCTGCTTCACGAAACGGCTGAAAATGAGTATGAAGCTCACACACTCAATGAGGTACAAGCATTAGGCGCTCAGAACAGAAGAACTGGAGCCGGTTCCCCAGTGGGTGCTGCTTCCCAAGACGGCCAGTCCGGCCAGGCCCGTCCCTAAAGGAAGACACACGGGGAGAGGCTGACGCGTCGCTGGCGTGGAAATCCAGGTCCTTCCCATACGGCGGCTGCAGAGACCGCGGCCTGAGCCCAGCGAAACGCAGCACAGCTCCGCTGGGGCTTGGGCAGGAGCTGCCCGGTCGGGGCAGGTCGCAGGGGCCCTGAAACCAGCAGGAAACACAAAGGAAGCCCAGGACGGACCAGCTTGTCCTGCCTCAAGACCAGGGCTTGGAACCCAACATCACGGGAGGGCTGTGCTGCACAGAGAGGAATATGGTGAGTAATGTAGGCGCACAGCACTCCCGCGCACGACGGGGAGAAAGGGAACCCATCATCGCAGGAGGCTCCAAGCCGGGACGCACGTGCAGCCAGCGTGCAAGCGACACACAGCCCCGCCCCTCAGCTCAGTGCCCCGCACCCCACAGCTCAGCGCCCCGCACCCCACAGCTCAGCGCCCCACGCCCCACAGCTCAGCACCCCGCGCCCCACAGCTCAGCGCCCCACAGCTCAGCGCCCCGCATCCCACAGCTCAGCGCCCCGTGCCCCCCAGCTCAGCGCCCCGCGCCCCACAGCTCAGTGCTCCGTGCTCCCCAGCACACGGAGGGCGGGAAGCAGCCAGAGGGCCAGGGAGACGGCCGTCAATCACCAGCCGGGGAAGTGCTCAGAGGCACGAACTTGACTTTCAAGCTGTTCGGTTCCAACAGAACAGACGCTGAGCCTTCCCAACCCCATTTGATCCTGGGCAGGACCTGGAGAGCCTGCCCACTGTCACGGCCACAGGCCGGGCAGCCTGGC